TGATCCTGGAGGGCCGGTGTCCTGCAGAGTTTAGCTCCAACTTGCCTCAACACACCTGCCTGGAAGTTTCAAGTATACCTAGTATGAGCTTGATTAGCTGGTTCAGGTGTGTTTAAATAGGGTTGGAGCTAAACTCTGCAGGACACCGGCCCTCCAGGACCGTGTCTGGTGACCCCTGCTGTAGAGTGTTAATGGGAAAAAACATAGACAAGTCATTTTATTGTTACATTCAGAAATAATGTAAAATACCAGTAAATTAACATCATCTATAAACATTATAAACATGCATTTTAGTTCCTCTCACTCCACAACACATCCTTCCATTAATCACTATTCAGAACAAGAGCAAATGACAGAAGTATAAAATAAACATATATTAGTATTCATTATAAACAATATTTATTATAAATGCCAAGTGCTTTACCACAAATTCATCAAAATAAATCACTCATCAGCCTCAAAATAAATGTATCAAAATAAATCACTAAATCACCATCATCACACTCAGTGATTCTGGCCTTTCAAAATCCTCGGCGTATCATTTCAGTTTTCCTTCATACTGTACAACAATCAATTTAAACTGAGCTGTGTAACTTTTTCTTTCATTGACTGCATTTTAGTGTTATGATGAGTGGGCTTTGATGTCAATTAGCAATAGATCCGTGCTTGATGTTAATTGCCTTATTTAAGTCACAGCACGTTCCAGATTATTAAAAAGAAATATTCCGGAAAATACAGTATTTCTTGACACTTTTTTGCTGTTTACAGAGCCTAGGGCTATTACAGACAGATGTGATTTCTCTGGACACCTGTTTCAGTGTTATCTGTCAGGTAGTAGGGACATGTATGTGTGGTATTAAAAAAAATATTTGCTTAAGGAAATTTTAAGAGAAATGCAGGCATAAAAGTCAATGTACTGGAAAATATAGGATTATAGAGAGATATTTACATAGAACTATCTCAAGTACACAGTGGCTTCTCAGTCCACTGATGTATTTAAGTGATAGAATGCAGCGTGACTTCTTCCTTATAAATGAGCTTACATGTTTTCTCCCAGCGATGTTCTTGCGCTGTATATTTTAAGTCTATTGAATGTTCTAAAGAAAGCTTTCACCTTGAAGATTAAGAGGCTCTGTTGAATTAGAGATAAAACTCTGTTTACAAGTCTTCAGATAGTGTGGTTGTTTATTATGGCTGTCAGGTGGATGATTGAAGATTGATATCAATGCAAATTATGCTTATAGAGGTGTCAAGAAGAATGGAGGACGAAAAAAAATGACTCAACATGGCTTCCCCCTTCAGGGGCAACTTGTAGAATAAAACGACTTTTTCTAGCTACTGGTGTGACATCCCTTATGAAAAATAAGCACACTTAGCATACATTTAAAAAGAGTAGTTATTACATTTAAAAAGAGTAGCTATAACCGAAATAATATACTTTAAAAGAAAATACTTAAATGCAAACCCAAAGTAATGTTTTCAGACACTTAATTGCATGTTAATTGCAATGAAATGTATTGTAAATGAAAATGTATTGTAGTTTCAATTTATATTAAATGCAGTTAGCTGAACTTTAGAGCGTATTTGTACTGTATATTGGTATCTTACACATTTGTAATGATTATGTTGCAGTTTAGTAGATTTAAGAAATGTATTAAAGTCCACCTGTAGTCAATAATTGTATCCCTTAAAACTGATCATTGATCAAATGTTTTATTTTTTTCATGTTTAAACATAATTTCTTCATGTCTTAAAATGGCTTAAATGTATCTCTACACCCTTACCTCATTGAGTATACACGGATATGTGAATATTCAAATTAGTCCCCGCCTCCACTCAATGGCACCACCTCGGACCCGCACCACTTTCACTCAGTTAGCAAAAGTAAGTGCTATAGTAGATGCTACACAATGGTAATCACAGTGGTAATCTTGGATTAATGGTTATCGCTATGTCATTCATTTAACTTTCGAGAATTAATCTGTTAGTGAATGTATTGAAATTCTGAATAGATTATAGCCTAGAAAGCATACAAAGAGCGATCCCCTTATAATCACTGAAAAGCTGCCTCTCATCTTAGTTCATCGCACCTCATTTCGTTATAATCAATGAAGCTCTAGCCTCTACACTGCACACTTAATCTGCTATTTACATCGTGTCTACGCCTTGTTTATTATAACACAAGGATTCAGGAGTGTGCAGAAATCAGCACTGAACAAAACTCTGGATTCTGACTAATATAAACACCTCTGATTGGCCATTGTGATCAAGAAATGAACAGCTATGTTTGTGATTCTCTGTATTACTCAACCCTTCAAAAAACATGTTGTAAATTGAAACCTTTGATCATATATGAAAAGGCCTGCCCCACATGTTCACAGGATTGGTTAAAACTTTGTGTTGAACGAAATGGGGGCCATTTCAAACTGTGTTTTTGAGACTGATTTTTTGTACACTGTATATTCTCCTTAAAAAGGAAAATATACTCTGCAGTGGTGTTGACTGAGGAATTTGCACATGGTTTGTCTTTAAGCAAATGAAAAAAATAAAACAGATAGACATGTAAACAACGCTAAAAACTTGATTTTAACCACAGGGGGCTTTAACTTTAAATGTAACACACACTCAAATAACACAGTTCAGTTAAAATTAGAATCAAGTAGTTTAACTACTTTACATATGCTTTATTATGCCAGTCAACACATCAAAATAAGTGTACTTTAAAGTATGACAAAATATTACTAAAACATAAACTACCAATCAAAAGTTAATAATTAAGATTGTATTGTTTTTAAAAGAAGTATCTTACACTATGTTCACCAAGGCTGCGTTTATTTGATCAATAATACATAAAAACAGTAAAATATTTTTACTAGGCTATTTCAAATAACTGTTTTCTATTTAAAAAATGTAAAAAATGTAATTTATTTCTGTGATCAAAGCTGAATTTTCAGCATCATTACTCCAGTCTCCAGATCCTTCAGTTTTTTTTAAAATTATTAATGCTGAAAACAGTTGCTCTACTCAATATTTATGCGAAAACCATTATTTCTTTATTTAACAGAAATGTATTTGAAATATAATTTTTTTTTAACGGTGTATAATTCCTGTCACTTTTGATCAGTTTAATGCATCCTTGCTGATTAAAATAATTTTTCTTTTTTTAATTTTGAAAACTCTTACTTACTTTTTAAATGGTAGTTTAGATGTATAAAGTAGCATTAATGTAGACTAACAAATGCCTTAAGAAATTGTTGTTCATTGTAATGTCATGATAGCTAATGCAGGTTTACGAATTCAACCTTATGGTAAAGTGTTACCAATAATTGCATAAAAACATACAAATTTAAAAAGAGAATTATTAATATTTTTAAAACAGCTAATCAAGCGCAACACACATTTCCGTGGTGCATTTAAGTCTAGTACATTTCTGTCTTCGTCAAGCTTTGGCAGGTGCAGCCCTTGATTTAATTCTTCTAACAGGTCTTCGTGTTTGATTGTGGGCCTGTGCAGGTGTCTCCAGCCCAGCACACCTCCAGCACAGGTGGGCGGCGGCGGAGAACCACCAGCGAGGACCCAGACGAGAAGAGGCAGAAGTTTCTGGAAAGGAACAGAGCGGCTGCGTCTCGCTGCAGGCAGAAGAGGAAAGTCTGGGTGCAGAATCTGGAGAAGAAAGCGGAAGACTTGAGCAGCATGAACGGACAGCTACAGGTACACACACACACATCTTCCAGTGTATTTCCGTGTGCATTGGAGAGCCAGACAAAGATGGTGATAAAGTCATTAATGTAAATTAAGAAGTGTGTTTGCATGACAGCCACGGCGTGATTGTTGGAGTCTCCTGCATCGATATGGCCCTGTCAATAAAGACGTTTCCTCCAGATGTCATCGGCACACAAGCGTGTCGCCTGTTCTGTCGGAGCGTTTGTGAGCTGCCCTGGAACTCTCCCAGGGAAAGCCGTCTCTTTCTCAACCCCCGTTTTGTAGCAGGCAATTAGGATCCGCCACTGACAAGTTCGAAACAGTTCACGTAACTGTTGTCTCTGCTGATAACGGAGAGTGCGGCTCGGCGCCGGCACGTTCCAGACAATTTAATGAGATGTGCCACTGTTTATTTGCGCGCTGTCTTTTTTTATTTGTCCGTTTAAACAAAGCGCAGTGGTTTGGCGACGGGGTGGGGGAAGGGCGATTAATTTGTGGGTAATATGAAGGAATAAACTAACATGAAACAGATGGAGAAGCGAAGAAGGGTGTAGAACAGAAAGCTTGGGACTCTGAAAACGAGCGTGACAGTATGTTTCTTTGGAGAGAAGCTGTTTAATACGAGCGCATTTATCAGCGCTGATGGGCTGGTGTAATTGTCCCTCTCTGCCCCGTTGGCCCAGCTGATCGGAGCGTAGAGCTCTAATGATGCTCAATTACGTTAACATCATCCTTAACTGGCTTTTTAACGAGGAGAAACATTTTTTTTTTAAAATTATTAATGCTGAAAACAGTTGCTCTACTCAATATTTATGCGAAAACCATTATTTCTTTATTTAACAGAAATGTATTTGAAATATAATTTTTTTTTAACGGTGTATAATTCCTGTCACTTTTGATCAGTTTAATGCATCCTTGCTGATTAAAATAATTTTTCTTTTTTTAATTTTGAAAACTCTTACTTACTTTTTAAATGGTAGTTTAGATGTATAAAGTAGCATTAATGTAGACTAACAAATGCCTTAAGAAATTGTTGTTCATTGTAATGTCATGATAGCTAATGCAGGTTTTTCGATATACATTACCAGAGTTTCCCATACATTGATTTATTTGTGGAATAGATTATAGAAATGAATACTTTTATTTAGCAAGGATGCTTAAAATTGATCAAAAGTGATAATAAAGGCATTTATAATGTTACAAAATATTTCTATTTCAGATAAATAGTGTTCATATCGATATCGGAATTATATCGTATCGACCGAAATTAAGAAATATATCGTGATATAAAGTTTGGCTATATCGTCCAGCCTTATTCACATTGACTTATGACTTATTGACTTATAACATGACTGTATACATTTGAATTATAAATACCTTGTTGCTAAATTCCAGCATGTTAAATGGTTCTTCTTTTCTTCGTCTGTCTGATATCTAGACGTAGACGAATATTTTGGCCTATTACAGGTTAATTAATGGAATTTTTCAGAATTAGTCTTTTTGGACAATTAAGAGACGTCTGTACCAGTGTACTTTGTTTTATGTTTTTTTCTCAGATATTTTAGAGTAAACAATTGTTTCAAGTAAGTCTTAACTATGTACACTACTTTTTTTTCATGTCTTTAAAAGAAGTCTTTTATGTTCACCAACATTTGCATTTATTTGATAAGAAACGCAGTAAAAACAGCAAAATTGTGAAATATTACTACAGTTTAAAATCTATTTTATATTTTAATTCATTTTGAAATATAATTAATTTCTGTGAGGGTAAAGCTGAATTTTCAGCATCATTACTCCAGTCTTCAGTGTGACATGATCTTCAGAAATCATTCTGATATGATGATTTGCTGCTTAAGATAGCAAGGATGCTTAAAATTGATCAAAAGTGATGATAAAGGCATTTATAATGTTACAAAATATTTCTATTTCAGATAAATAGTGTTCATATCGATATCGGAATTATATCGTATCGACCGAAATTAAGAAATATATCGTGATATAAAGTTTGGCTATATCGTCCAGCCTTATTCACATTGACTTATGACTTATTGACTTATAACATGACTGTATACATTTGAATTATAAATACCTTGTTGCTAAATTCCAGCATGTTAAATGGTTCTTCTTTTCTTCGTCTGTCTGATATCTAGACGTAGACGAATATTTTGGCCTATTACAGGTTAATTAATGGAATTTTTCAGAATTAGTCTTTTTGGACAATTAAGAGACGTCTGTACCAGTGTACTTTGTTTTATGTTTTTTTCTCAGATATTTTAGAGTAAACAATTGTTTCAAGTAAGTCTTAACTATGTACACTACTTTTTTTTCATGAAAAAAGAAAAAGAAAGTCTAAAGAAGTCTAATTTAAAAGAAGTCTTTTATGTTCACCAACATTTGCATTTATTTGATAAGAAACGCAGTAAAAACAGCAAAATTGTGAAATATTACTACAGTTTAAAATCTATTTTATATTTTAATTCATTTTGAAATATAATTAATTTCTGTGAGGGTAAAGCTGAATTTTCAGCATCATTACTCCAGTCTTCAGTGTGACATGATCTTCAGAAATCATTCTGATATGATGATTTGCTGCTTAAGAAACTTTTTTTTATTATTATTATCAATGTTAAAAACAGTTGTGCTGCTTAATATTTTTGTGGAAACCATGTTGCTTTTTTGTTTGTTGTTTTTTTTGATACATTTAAATTTCAAAAGAACAGACCGAACAGAATTTATTTGAAATAAAAGGTCTTTACTGTCACATTTAATAAATTTAATGCACCCTTCCAGGAAAAAACTATCAATAAAAACTAGCAATTGAAAAACGCTGTAAATTTTGAGATTTAGTCAATCAGGGTTGTTGTCACCCTGTCAAGGTTTATTTTGTGATAATTAATTTCAACTGCATTTTCCTGCTTGTTATAATATACTTCTCGCCTGATAAATAATAAATAAATCTACATAAAATACTGATTTGAAATTGCTTATTATATGAGAAGAAAAATGTACAGACATGAAACTAGCACAGCCACGTAGGAAATCATTTGCCTGGAACGACAGTCGAATTTAAGCTACATTTTTGACCACAAAATGACCGCAGTTAATCAATCACGTTCCAGAAAGCTGGGCTGTTTACTGTTTATTACCGTTAATATTTATCTATCAGCCGCTGGCCACACTGCTCTGGAGATATTGACATGGCAGTTGAACACCAGTCCACCCGTCTTGTTTTAGGATTTTTAACAGCCCCTGAGCCTTATGAGTTAGTTTCCAGTAACTAATAATAATAGCCTGTGGTCAAGCTGAGCTCCAGACTATTGTTCGACTCTCTGTAAATCCTGTTAAAGTCACCTTCGCTGTTAAACAGCCTGTCTTTAGCGCATGCAGAACAGCACAGCACAGCCCCATGGGAGTCCTAACGGCAGACGAGAGTAAATCTCACCAGAATGGGTGACAGTGTTTCGCTGACGGAGGGGAGCGCTCTCTCTGTGTTTCTCTCTCCTGGGACTCTGCCATTAAGCAGCTATAATTGTGTCCCCAAAAAAGCTTAAATGAAGAAGAGCTAGTGATCTTTTTCTGTTGATTCCTCCTCATTGATCTTGACGGGTAACGTGCTTCTTTCTCTCTGTCCAGAATGAGGTGACTCTTCTGCGTAGCGAGGTGGCCCAGCTGAAGCAGCTTTTACTGGCTCACAAAGAATGTCCCGTGACGCTCCTGCAGAAGAAATCAGGATACCACCGTGAGTGACCTCAGCAATTCACACTGCCAGACATATCCATTTGCTTCGTCATCGGACTCCAGGGCTCTCCATTTAAGATTTAGCACTTATGAATCACAACAGCCATAAAATGTGTTTCTTAGTTTTGTGATATTTATTGAAAAACGTCTTGATTCTGCACTCTAAAGCCTCTAAAGCCTTAACATATTGAATAATAGTCAGAAAAATCTACATTTTTCTACATCAAATGTTTTTTGTTTTTTTACCTTTAGACAAAACCTTTCTTAAAAATTTGGGGGAAATTTTTGAGTGTCATATTTGATACATCAGACTCTTATGGCTCATATAGAATGATGCAGTAAGAATATGGAGCTCATACTGAAGGAGAAAAAGCACATTATTTTTATTCAAAAGCCCAAACTGAGCAAATTGGTGCAGATGTTGTTGTTTATATAACCAAAAAGTAAGATGGCATTCGGATAGCTTGTGATATAAATAATTACAATAGTACAGCATACTTGCAAAAGATGCATATCAATTTTAGTTGTCACTCTGTATCTCACAATAATACAGCATATTTTAGTAAGTTGATAATTTAATGCTTATTTTTAGGATCAAAGATTTGTAGTTTTTATTATAATGGAATACAATGATTATCGAGAGATAAACAAATAAATGGTCCTCAAAATCCTGCTGTATCATATTTGATGCTCATGATTTTTCTAAAAAAAATAAAAACGATGCATGGATAATCAAGTAAACCTAAGTTAACTGTTCATCTTGAAATATTATTAACTATAAAAATGGTTCTTAAGATTACTTTCTAAAAATCATTAAAGAGACAAATAGACCCAGAGGGGGATATTTTTACAATTATACTGTAAGGCCTTTTAGTATCGTAGTATAAACTATCAATCAGACAACAGAAGGCATGAAAAAGAGACAACAGGTTTTTCAGCAAATGATTGCAGTCTAAATTCACAAATCACATTTTTGGCTTTTTTTTACCAAGTGGTTCACTATAAAGAAAAGAAAAATTGGCACACTGCCATTGATCAATTTTGCCAAGTGAAACAGAGATTGGAACGGGGCCAGAAAGGACCACGAGTTGGGATTTGTTGCCCAAGGTGTAACCACACACTGCCCACAAGGCTATAATCATAAGTACATGACTTTTAATAAATCATTCGTTCAGAAACATTCATAAATTGTAGTTGCTGTTTTGAGTTACTGGTTTCACTGAACTGACTCAATAATAAGCAGTTACTGAATCAGCATATTACTAATGAAAATGTGTAAATGGACCACTAGTAGGGTACTGGAGCAGTGTTTCCCAACCCTATTCCCAAACAAACCTGATTCAACTCATTAGTAGAGACACCAAGACCGGACATGGATGGCTAGGGTAAGGGTGAAATACAAAATGTGTACAATTGTTGTCGTGTCTCCAAAAACAGGGATAAGAAAGACTGTCCTAGGTGCTTGCTTGCTGGCATAAGTCAAAGGAGCCTGATATTTCATTCACAATGCCTTAATCTCAATTAGCAATGAGTTTCTAAATTTTGCTCAGGGTTCAAAACCAGATCTAATCTCACTGAATGCTTTTCTCCTCTTTCTTTGAAAAGGAACACACATCTCTGGACTGACAGCTCTGCTTAATGGGTTGTAAAGTTAATGGTTTCTTTTTTCCCCAAATTAGTTTTGTTTGTTTTTGACAATAACAGATGAGTGTTATTCCTAATGAGTGTTCAGTTGGGTTTTTGATGAAATGTGAAGTGGAATATGAACTAGCACTGAGTGTGAAATAACACATATTCATCTCATCCCATTATTACCGCAGAACGCCGAGGACTCATATATTTGCACAACAGCGATGTTCGCTAACAAAATGATCCCCGCTGTATGTGGCGCTGTCCTCTTTAAGATGAGTGATAAAGAGGCATTCAGAAACCGAGGGCTCGTCTGCCATATGCAGTCACTTCATATCAATTAGCTGTTGTCACAGGGACAGAGAAGCGGTTGTGGGAGAGATTGCATGTGTGCGTCTGCCGGCAGCACTTCCGCGACACTAAAACTTAACGGCCGCCCACGCCGCTCTGCCGGCGCGTAAGCACTTTTTGTGCATAACTTGGATTTTACACCATGTCCGATACGTTGCTGGCTTTGTGTGTGCATGTGTCTGGCTCATTTTGTAACCTGAGGCTGACTTGTATTGACAATGATTGCTTCCAAAATGAGTGTATTATAGCGGAGAGCCTGACAGAAGTGCTGTTTGGTGACTGGGATGCGCCGATGCAGCCGTGCAGTTCATTATGCACCGGCATTGTTAAGCAGCTTGACTGACAGGTCTCATGCATATTATGAGCGGGATGCTTGTCGGGTGAGATTGGGTTGTCGGGGAGCGGTTCATTTGGTCGGTCTTGGCGAAGTAGAGGAGGGTACGGAGATGATCGAAACCATTCCTCAATCCTGTTTATGCTGCCAATGTCACCCAACATCGTGAGGGGTCATATATTAGTCACCTGTGCAAATGAGACTCGCAGAAGAGCGTCGTTCCGTCTTTGCCGGATTTGTAAACAACGCCAGTTTGTGCCACATTCATCGCTGGATGGAGAAGCCGCAGATGGTCATCACCTGTCAAAGAGCGGTCTTAATGCGGTGAAAAAGTGCAGACGTCAGTGAGGGTTTCATTTGGTCACCTGAACGCTCCCGTCTTGTTTGCTTCATTACACTCTGTTAGGCCTGAAATATATGAAAATCGCATTGTACCTGGTTGGGACAGGTGTAAAATATGGCCGACGTGGGCCTGCTTGGCAAAGCGATTTCGTTTGTGATTGCGTACTTAAGTAAAGTATGTTTCTGGCCTTAATCTCTCTGGCCTGGTAGCAGGTGGGGGAAAATTACCCAGGCTGCCCTGCAAACAGTGCAGGTTAGGGTTAGTGTCTCCGTTTGGCATTGCACAAGCCCCATCTGCTCGCAGCGGAGATGATCCGAGAGCGCTCTCCAGAGCATGCGATGCTGCGTATGATAATATATCACTCCCTATCCTGCTTAATACCATTAGGAGTAATTACAGATGCCTGAACATGGAGCCGAAGAGATGAGAAAACACAGTTCTGATTTCTGAGCTCGACCTTACATGCATGTAGCAGGCGAGGTTTGCAAGTCACCAGATTGGAGCCCGGTCAATTCAGAAGAGCGCACACAATCAAATACCCCCGCATTAATTACCAAGTGCCATTTGAGCCGTGCTTGCTTCATTAGCTATATTAATTATCATGGTAGTCTGCATTTCTGTGCGAGTCAGAGCGAGAGCGAGCCTTTTTTTCATTCGCTTTCTCATCAGGAGCCAATTAATTCTATGCAACTGCAGAACAGCTGGTGGCATTTGGACCGCGCATCTCTGCCGCTCTCCTGTTTGTGTATCATTAAAATCAGGTGCAGTAATTATCTGTCGCTGCAGTAGTTGGCAGGAAAGAGAGGGGATCGTAGGGAGGGGTGCGCGAGTCTGGCCGCACGCTACAGCCTCTAATATACCCTGATGATGTTGGTTTAAAATGACATTGTAACTTTAATTAAAGGTTACATATGTGACCCGTGCTGGCAAAATGAGTCGGAATGTGCATGGTCTAATTTTGAGCTACAGGCAAAAAAAAAGTGAAAAATGTTGATTTTGGTCGAATTTCAGGTTTTCACAAAAATGAGCCCTCGTCTAGCGATCCCAATGCTCCAAATAGTGATTAAACGTCTAAAATGATCTTTATTTGTATGTTTTCTGAGAGGAGTACCTTTTCTCTGCTCGCTTCTCACACTGCCGCTGACTGACATATGAATCGCGCTTCCGCCAGCACACGATCCCGATAAATATACACATATACACAGAATTACAGTATTTAAGTAGGCTATTCACGCAAACATAATCTTTTCAAGTCAAGTATTTATATAGCGCTTTTGACAATACAGATTCAAAGTCAAAGCAGCTTTATAGTATCAAATAGGAAAAAATAGTGTGTAATAATGCAAAAGGTATGGTCTAATTTTGAGCTACAGGCAAAAAAAAAGTGAAAAATGTTGATTTTGGTCGAATTTCAGGTTTTCACAAAAATGAGCCCTCGTCTAGCGATCCCAATGCTCCAAATAGTGATTAAACGATTTTCAGTAGATCTCTATCTTTAAGCCCTTTCAAGCCACAAGCTTTTGAGCTGGAGTTTGTTTATTAAGCGTGCAGAACAACCACCCAATAATCATTACAATAATCTAACCTCGAGGTCATGAACGCATGAAGTAACATTTCTGCATTTGACATTGAGAGCATAGGTCGTAATTTAGATATACTTTTGAGATGGAAAAATGCCGTTTTACAAATGCTAGAAACGTGGCTTTCAAAGGAAAGATTGCTGTCAAATAGCACACCTAGGTTCCTAACTGATGACGAAGAATCGACAGAGCAGCTATCTTAAGTGAACGTTTGGGGAACTGTTGGGGAAAACATCTGATGTGTAACAGTATATTAGATCCATGCAGTACAGTAGGACTTACTATAAGGCCGTCTGTCTCATTAATGCTATTCTAACAACAGGCCTAAAAGAAAAGATCGCTGCTCTTGATTAAACTGCTTTTGTAGTTGTAATAATCAATTTATTTGTAAAGAACACACTGAAGTGATTTTTACATTTGATTATTTGTTTTTCTTACTTGAATGCTTTTGTTTAGATGTAAAATGAAAAAAGTAATGCACTAGGCCTATTTGTTTCTTTCTTATATTTGTTCTACTGTTGTTGTTGTTGTTTTTTTGTTTTGTTTTTTGCATCTGTTCTTATTTTTAATAACAAAGAAAATAAATAATGGCTATATTGTGATTATTAATATAGTAATTAATATTAAGAAGGGAAGTGGAGGAAACAATGCAATTCAACATTCAACTTGATTTTTCTCAGAATTGAGTTTGCTGACTCTATCGACTTCAAACGGGTGAAGCTCATTTTTCATCCGATTCCAACAAATCATACATCATTTTAAAGGCTGAAAATAAAAATAACTTATTTTTGAAAATCTGCTCATTGTGACTCATTTTGCCAGAACAGGTCACATAGAATATTAACAGATTGCTTTAGTTCTTACAACTTCAACTTTGAACCCATTTGTTGCTAACTAGGGTTATGATATCAGTTTTTACTACATGATTATTTTGCCAAAATAATTCACCATAGGCTTACCGCGGTAATTAGTGTTATTATCAATGTTACACAGTTTAAATATATCAAAACGAGGGAATGAATACCTCAAATTATTGCACTTTATGTCAATTGATATGTATTTTTCAATATTTAAAATTTTTAATAATTTCATTGTATTTTGGGATGGGGGGAAGGTTTTTTTTTTGTTTTTTTTCCAACATCAACTGGAACAGCGCTTCAAATGTTGCTCTATGTAGTGCTATACAATGACAATAAAGGCTTTCAGATCAATTAGTACAACATGGCCACAATTTAATAAAAAGAGGGAATGAATTAAGTCGTACGAGCAAATTCTTAACTCGTAGGCCGTGGCCACAATAAATATATATATATATAAAAATAATGACCTCCAATGATTTCAAGGCCGTCCACAACTCACATATTATAAATATAATTGTATTATAAAATTATTATAACAATTTTCATTCTGACAGATAAAAATATATATATATATATATATATATATATATATATTGTTGTCCGCATGTCGTGTGTGGGGTCTTAAGATGTCACCTGTTTTGTTTCTATAAGTTCTATATTTAATATAAGTTAGTTTGTCGTTGTACTGTTTTATTGTTGTTGTGTTTTTAAGCGTTTGTTTTGTTCAAAGAAAGGGAAAGATTGATCAAAGTGCTACAGATCCTGAGTGTCAAATTTCCTCCTTGTGGCATCGCTAATTCACAATAACAGTATTATTGCGGTAACTTTAGAAATTTTACCAAAAATAAATAAACACATCATTAGAGAAAAGAAGAGGGAAAATAATGTAACTGCAAGAGGAAGGGGACGTTATTTTGAGTAAAAATTAAGAGGGCACGTGAATAAAAAAAAACAATGTGCATGGATAAATCATTTATAATAAATACTGCAATATTCCATAAAAAAAAAGAATTAGTAATTTGTTTAATTGTCAAGTTCATGTTGAATTAAGGTGCAATACTGCCACCTACTATGTTGGAGTATCAACCAGAGATGCAATGGATTATTTACAATATTATTTTATGTGTAGTATTAACAGAATAAAAATATGATTTTTTTTTGGAATATCAATACCAGTATTATTACGACACTCCTGACCTTTTGTAGCACAGCCAGTGATTACAGTTCACATGATGTATCTTTGTATGGGTGGTATTGGTGTGAAAATCCCAAAATACTTGTACCAAGTACTATCCTGTGGATATCTAGGTACAATAAGTTGTACAACAGTGTTGATTGCGTAAAAAAAAAAAAACTGTGCATGTCATGTTACTACTTTTGTTTACTTTGTTTTTACTGTTTATTGATCACTCTTGCCAAAGTGCACTTATGTGATGCTTTCTAAAACTCATTTCATATGGAGGTCAAAGTGACACATGACTGGTGCTGAGAGGTGCGTTGAAGTCCTGATGTGAGTCTTGTGTTTGCACACAGGGAGACATCATTTCACACTGATGTTCATGCCGACAGTCTGAAAGGCCTGTGTACCAGTTGCTTTCACATCACTACAGTGGCACAACACTTAACATGGATACACTGCAAAAAATGCTTTTCTAGCTTAGATTTTGTTGTCTTATTTCCAGCCAAAATATCTAAAAATTCCTAAATCAAGAAGGATTTTTTAGACAAGTAAAAATTATTGTCTTGTTTTCAGAAAAAAAAAAAATTATTTCTGTTTGAAATAAGATTATTTTGCTTACCCCATTGGCAGATTATTTTGCTTGTTTCAAGCAAAAACGCACTTAAATTCGACTTGTTTTTCTGAAAATTGTTTAGATATTTTGGCTGGAAACAAGACAAAAAATCTAAGCTAGAAAAGCATTTTTTGCAGTGTATCCATGTTAAGGATGTATTCAATTCATCAAAAGTGACTGTAAAGACATTATTTCTTTCAAATAAATGCAGTTCTTTTGAATTTTCTGTTCTATTCATCAAAGAATCCTGAAAAAATAAAATAAAATGTGCCAATTTCCCCAAAAACTATTTAGCTGCACAACAGTTTTCAACATCGGTAATAATCAGAAATATTCCTTAAGCAGCAAATCATCATATTAGAATGATTTCTGAAGGATCATGTGACACTGAAGACTGGAGTAATGATGCTGAAAATACAGCTTCGATCACAGCATCTTAAAATTTATTTATTTAAAATTCTAATAATATTTCACATTATTACTCATTTTATTGTATTTTCGATCAAATAAATATAGCCTTGGCAAACATAAGAGACTTCTTTGAAAAACATTACAAAAAATTATTTGACCGGTAATTATTCCCAACTTTTGACCGGTAGTGTACAAATGAAGCATGTCAACATATTCTGTTACACCAAATACACAAAATAACGATGTTTAAAAAAGCATCATATGACCCCTTTAAAAAAAAAAATAATTATAATATTTCACAATGATACTGTTTTTATTGTATTTTTATATACAATTTTATTTTGAATAATTTTCTTTATCACTTCTGGATCATTCATTATACTGTAAGGTCAAGTTAAGTACTTGACAAGGCGAGCTCTGGTTGTGTACTGCACATTTGGGCAAATATACAAATATTAGTGTACTATTTTAAACATTTCCATTGTCATTTGATTTTTTTTCACATGTTTACCCCAACACTACTTCAGACAATAATCAAACAGACTGCATTGTGTGTGAAAGCGGTTGAGAGCTGCTAATGTCTGTTGTCTCGGTGGCTGTGTGTTTCAGAGCTGGAGAAGGAGGACAGCTGCAGTGAGATGTCTGTTCCCAGCAGCCCACAGAACGAGGCCATCCAGCACAGCTCCATCAGCACATCCAACGGCGTCAGCTCCCTCGCATCCGGCCCCGCTCTGGGGCCCGCCGCAGACCACAGCACAGAGGAGGAGGACGACTCGCACTCTTCCTCTCACGCCCAGTCTTCAGGAAGCTGATCAGGCCTCTGATTGGTGGCTTTGATTCCTGGCAGCCATGTTGAAATGAGGGGGGCGAGAGACGAGAGATCCCTGGAGCAGTTTTCATTTGAGCTCTTGGTGAAGAGTTGTGAGTAGGCACTTGTGAGGTTATGCATAAACTGTACTGATTGTTTCATGGTTTTTCCATTTGTGGTGTGTCCGGATTCATAGCGAGAGGAAAGAGACGTACCGAAGCACTCTCAGAGGCTTAAAGATGGAAGAATTGTCCACTTTATAATTTATTTGCCTTTTATATTTTGCACATGAAAGGAGTGAAAGGTGTTTTTTAAAGCGATCATTGTTTTAAGTGCTTGACACAAGCAGTTCCAGCAGATTTTTAGGAGTAGCTTTAAAACCAATCTGATAGTCAGTCTTCTAGAAATAGTGAGGTGTTGTTGTGTGAGTGTTTCACAAGGATCCTGGCATGTTAAAGGAAGATTTTCTGACATGAATGATTGTTCATCGGGCCGTGATTGTAGGTGTAGATGCTGACTTTTCCAATGCTTGCTTCGATATGTGCCATTTATTTGGTTGCAGGTTATTGAAATTACAATAACAAATTTATTTTAGTTTAATTACAATGACGTGAATTCGTGACTTGCCTGAGAGCTTTTCATGGACTTATTTTGATAAGAACCTTCATGCATTTTTATAAGTGATTTTTTCCTGCGGCTGACTTTGTATTTGTGGTGTCTGACTCTTAGAAACATTGAGATAAGTTCATTCACTTTGGTTGTCTTTCTGATTACAGTGTAATTAAGGAAGCATTGTATATGGCATTATGATGAAATCATTGTATGTGATCTCTACTGGTACTATGTTTGTCTTAGGATCATGACGACAAAAAAATCACCTGAACAAACCTTTCAATAAGGCTTTCTCTGGTTTTCAGCAATTCTGTCTTTAAAAATGTAACTCGACAAAACTGAACAGGAACTGGAGCTGCTCTTCGAAACAAACAAAGACGGATATAAAACTCTACTGTCTTTTTAAGTTCTACTATTAAGGTACTAAGTAAGGAAAATAGATGAAGTCTTTCATTATCATCCTCTTCTATCTTTAAAATCTATTGGCTTACTACTGTGTAGTTCTACAAGACTTTGCTGCATTTCGTTCTGCTTTTAAGTCAACTTGATTTTGGTTTCAAAGGTAAATTTGTATGACTGAATTCTCTAAGAGAATTGTTTCAGAAGTGTTTCAACCATGTCTCTGTTGCAGTTGAACATCTTGGCAGCTTTACAATGGGGGTTTTGTTCTTATTTACTAGGTCCACTTTGGAAAAAGGATGTGATGATTATTGTGTTGGCGGTCAACTTGTAACTTGTGGAAGTTATGTATAAATTATAATAAATTAATAAAATGTTGTAATATGTCTTTTAATAGCTATTTAAAGCAAGATTTTGTCATTGGATGAAACTATTGTTTTTTTTTTGTTTTGTTTATTGTCTTGTATCTCTTTTATTTGAATGATATTTTGCTTTGTAAATTCTGCCATCTAGTGGAGAATCCTGGAAAATTCGATTGCCAAAACGTTTGGAGGAACTGTTGTAGCTGTTGATTTGCCGGTAAGTTTTTGTGGGCAAGCTGATTGTTTATTTCAGGATACATGTTTGAAAGGAAAATGAATATCATCCCTGTGATTATGACAATTCCTAAACCGTATATGACCGCCTCATTCTTCAAAATACAGTAAAAAAAGACAAAAAAAATCATTAAATGCACAACAGTGGGTGTAGAAACAGAATGTTGCCCTATTTAATACTAACCAATCAAATATACATTAACAGTAATGCTGGCAAGATATGCTTTGCAATTCTTAAATAGGCATAACGTCAATCATAATCATTAAAAAATTTACTTCGCATGGTTAGCTATTAGCTATTTTGTCAGCGATTAGCTCAACATGCTGAAATTGGTTTGGTAAACCGACCTTGAGATATTGCCCTGCCACCTGACTTTACTAGCAAGTTAGCAACCAACTAACAGACATTTAACAGACTAACATTTAGGCCTATATGCTATGTCTTAATGACTAAATACACATTTCATGTAAGTTTCCGTTATATTGAGCTTTTTTAAATTCAAATTAACTCAGATTCATTTGGCAGTGCAATTGGCTAATAATTTATTCCGATGTTTTCATTTGAGTAATATTCGCTTATATGTTCCCAGAGGTTTTTATGAAAAAATACAAAACTGTAGAAGGTTGATTAGTGTTACAAGAGTAGGTAATATAGAATTGGTAGCGGTTTGTGTAATATGGTTAAGCATCAAGGTGATTTTTGAGCTAAATGGTTTAAAGAAATCGAGTCAGAAGAAGGATTCGTCGAGTCCGACAGGGTTGCCAGGTTTTCACAAGAAAACCCGTCCAATCACTACTCAAAACTAGCAAACCAATGGCGTTTCGAGGGGTCCACAGTTAAAAAAAACGCGTTCGGTGGGTAAAATACACGTTTTTTGGCATTCATTCGCATTCCAGGGGATACATATCATGTTATTGGAGTCGCTTCAACCCGCGGACTAGAGGTCTGCATTCCGCGGGAACCGCGAGACCCGACCAGGTTTTTTGCGCCGCGGGATTAAATTCCCGAATAAAACGCGGTAGAAATCGGTAACTCTGGTGTAATTTGACACTTGTTTCCTACTGTGTTGCATAAAATATTAAACGAATTCAACGAATTGTCTTAAGATAATTCATAAATTCAAGTCAAAGTCAATAAATTCAAGACTCTTGACAAGACGAATAAAATAACATAGCCTACAATTTTGTGCAGACTACAGTTTTATTTGTTAGCCTATGTCTTTTTTTCAGTAGAGGAAATGTAAACATGAGATTCTGGAAACCAGATCTAAATTTAGCGGGAACGGTCGGGTCGGGAAGAAAATTATTCTAAGCGGACAGCAGGTGAACAAAGAGTGAATATATAGCGGGAGCGGGTGGGTGCGGAATATAACCTGGCGGGAGCGGGACTAAAAAAAATAGTCCCGCGCAGACCTCTACCATGGACACGAAAAACAAACCGCAGCAACAATGTTAAAAGGGTCATATGATGCTTTTTTAAAGATCATTATTAGGTGTAAAAGAATATGTTGACATGCTTTAATGCTAAAAAAACGCATTATTTTTCAAATACTGTACATTATTGTAGGTCCTCTATGCCCCGCCTCTCTCAAACGCTTCGTTTTCTACAAAGTCCCTCCTTCTGACAAGCGCAGTCTGCTCTGATTGGCCAGCTGACCCAGTGCATTGTGATTGGCCGAACACCGCAAGCACTCGTCGGAAATGTAACGCCCCTTACTATAATCGCGAGCTTCATCTTTCAAAATAAATGTAAAGACAGAGCCTGAAAGGGGAACAGAGTCTCGTGACAGACACAGTGATGAAGCTGGTATGTGTTTGCAGTACACAAGCCACGGTTAAGACAGCTGACTCCACTGCGATGTGACCCTGTCTCTCTCGCTCTCTCTCTCACACACACGCGCGCAAGCGCACACTCACACACACGATGCTCAAAACTCCGCATTTGAACAGTCAATAGCAAATACTTAAACTAATAACAAAACAGTAGCTGATTCAGAAGCGCCAGATTGTCATAGCAAAGGCAGAATGACCTCTTCTCCTAGGTTCACGAAACGGTCGTCCATAAAATGCATTGCTGTTCTGTTGTAAGTGATCCAAATAAAGTGCTTTTGCTTTCGCACTGAAACACACAGCGTCTCCCTGACATGCTGCATCAACACTACTGCTGTTCCTGAAACCACGCCTTCTTTCTTTGCGTGCTCATTTGGGCGGCATTATGCAAATATTCCCACGTAGTGAGGTAGGTATGTGGGGGCGTGTTAGAATGAGCCGTTTTAGGGGGGCGTGGCAGAGTCTTAACTTTGATAAAGAATATCTCTTTGGTTTTGAGACTTTAGTCTTTGCAACTTCAGGGATCTTATCTATGCACAATCAGCTTGTAACACTCCAAAGAGAAAGGAAAACTTGAAATCGCATCATATGACCCCTTTAAAGTAGCCCAATTCCACGGTGAAACCGCGGACTTGGCAACACTGCTCGGGAGTGGCCTGCTCCCCCTGCTGTTGTGTGTGTGTGTGTTAACTTATTGCTCACTCATCATCTTGTTTTTATCATCCGTGAACTTTAGCCTGAGATGGACTAAACAGAGTGTGACTGTACTGACCTTTCAGTGTTTTTGGTTGAGAGCATCTTCAGTCTGATGAGACTCAGCTTTCCAGTCATGGTTATACATGTCAAACCCATGGTTTTAGCTGAGTCACAAATATGTTTATATTTAGCACATTACTGCTTTTAGACTCATTTTAAATTGAATAATTTAAGGCAATCAACTAGAAATACACGAGTTAAAACTGCATTGTGAACACAGTTATGAGACCTATATTTTCTCAACCTGTTGTTGTTATTCATTTCTCTTGGTAATTAGATGATGATTTAATGACAAGCAAATTAAATATAGCATCATTACAAGGTCCTTAACATACTTTATGAACAAGCAATTTCCAGAAGAAGAACCATGTCTTCAGTCAAAAATAGCCATTACTTCATCCTACGCATGACATACCTTGCACGTCTTTTTAGTCTTGTCGTATTCAAAAAAAAATATTTATTTGTATTCAACGGCAGGAAATGAGAGCTGAACAATAAATGCAGTGTCAGGGGCTCACGTCTTCTGAGCAGAACTGCTGGGTGGCTATTGTGCGCGCTTCCTGTTAGCGTGTGTACTCGCTTCAACTTCTGTCAGTTCAGGGCGACACCACCATCTGGGGAACATATATCTGGGGAGAGTTTGTTTTACTTTAAACCATGCAAGGTACAAGCTTTTGCGGGGCTTCGAAGGGTGCTTTGGGATCCCATGGCCAACTAAGCAGACAAGGCTTTGCAATTATATAATGATATTGTTTTGGGGAATGCATACTGAGACATGTATTTTATAAAACTGTTCTTTCTCTTACACATTTGCAAAATATGGATGCACGGAATAAATCTTTGCATGCTGCTTTGCAATGTTTTAACCATTTTGCAGCACTGTAACATCTAGCCTACCTTAAAATTCACATATATATCTGCATAATTTTTAAAAAGTACATTCTTAGGAAAAAAAGGTACTATGCACTATTAAGGTACTAATACTAATATTTCAAAAGGTAGGGGCCTACTATTTAGGTGCATTTTAGGTAGGCTACTATATGCGCCTTTAGGGGTAAAAAGGTACAAAAGTGTACCTTCTGAAAAGTAATGCCCCAGTGACAGCTTTTGTACCTTTTTATTCTAAGGGTGTGTTTGTAATTCATTCATGTTGTTTGAATCTAACATACTCTCATGGTCATTTGTAGGCCTATCTATTTTATGCTTCTGCAAACTGGTTGTGAATGCAAAAATTTCAAACGATTTCTTTCTGAGGAAGGGTTAGGTTTAGGAGGTATTCCTTCATGCTTAGCCTATTTGTTTCTAAAAATCATGTTTTTGTACAAATCAAATTGTACAAATTCATATGAAATCGCTGCTTTGTATATAGTTACAAAGAGGTGAACACAATAAAATAAGTCACATTTTACACAACTTTGCAGTCCAAACTAAATGTAATAAGATAAAAAGACAATGTACTACAAAATGAAAACTTGTCTTTATATATATAGTGATTCTCCCTAATTCTTTTTAATCTTTTACATTTTCCTTTCTAAAATGCCTACATGACAGGCAGGTAAGCAAAACATTAAATTTTTTAGTAAGTTTTTTATTTTGATTGATGTTACTTTAAAATAATTTATTTGAATTTGACTTTTTTATGACTTTATTAATTGTTAGCTTTTCATTGAACTCGCAAACTCCATGCAGTTCCCTCATAAAATTTTCCCTCAGTTTGGGAAACCCTGAAATCTTATGATTAATTCACTTTATGTTGTTAATAACAACGAATGGAATATATATTCTTTGCATTTTAAAGGAACACTCCACTATTTTTGAAAATAGGCTCATTTTCCAGCTCCCCTAGAGTTAAACAGTTGAGTTCCGACGGAAAATGAAAAGTTGCGATTTTCTAGGCCGATATGGCTAGGAACTATACTCTCAATCAAGGAACATTGCTGCCGTACCATGGGTGCAGCAGGGGCAATGATATTACGCAGCGCCTGAAAATAGGCTAACTTCCATCAACATAACCAACTACACAAACTTAGTGCCGGTCACGTTGGAAGTTACCTAGCTGGAGACTATTTTCAGGTGCTGCGTATAGTATATACGCAGCACCTGAAAGAGTATAGTTCCTAGCCATATCGGCCTAGAAAATCGCAACTTTTCATTTTCCGTCGGTCTTCCCGGAGATCGGCTGAATGGATTCGAAAACGGT